TACCTGCCTGATTACAATCGGTTGCGATTCCGCTTGCGTCGAGTTTGTGTGACCACATCCTTTTGGGATTCATTAGGAAAGCCGAAGGTATCTTCGCCACACTGAGTAAGGTAATCTCTCTTTCAGATCGCGGTGTATCTTGTTCTGTTACACATAATAACCAACTAGCTAAGTGCTGTTTTCTCAAGTAGGTTCTAAAATTTAGCTGCCCTTTAAACTGATTTCTTCAGAACAAAATTTCCGATACTCGAAATTTCATAGCTGAATTGGAATAAGCACCGTCGAAATCCCCCGGACACCAAATTTGGTTTGATAATTTCAACTCTTAGAAGCTAACCTCGCTTATTCGAAACTCGATAATCCAAACACTAGATATCTGATAACGGAATTGGCATTAGCACCCTCGAAAGCGGACGAGTACCAAATTTGGTTTGTTTCGGCGTATGTATTATAAAGCTAGATATGATTTATTTCTGGCTAGGCTGGCATTTGGAACCACTGTGCGCCGCGTCTTTATGTGGTGCTCTGTGTTCTTCTTTTGCGTTCTTTGTGCACGCGTGGGTGGGTGTCTAACGATTTGCATTTACTATTTATGTATTTACATGCAATACAATTGCACCATAGAAATTGATTGGTGTGTGTACGTATGTACGTATGTGCAGCTATTTAAGCAACGAACTATGTGCTACTTGCTTGCATTGGAACGTTATGAAGGTCATATCAATCGGTGTATGTATGTAACTATGTAGTACACAACAAACAAAACCAGCAGGACACTTACGATTAAGTAAGTACTTAGCTACGTGCAGCGTGTGCTTGTGCTAAGTGACGTAAGAGAGGTGTACATTGGTGTTGGTAATGACAGCTACAATATCTAACAGTTAGATTGTGGTTTTATTTTAAAGCTCCGTGCGAGTGTGTTGATTTTTCAGGAATTTGTTAAAGTGCATACATATGTGTGTGTAAGTAATTGCTGCCGACAGTTGCAATTTGACTATTGTACTAACATAAATACATACATAGATATATGTAGTATATAGTTATAATTATTTATGTATTATACTTCCTCTGCATTTTATGAATGGTTTTTTAATAATTATTATAATTGCAAGAGGCAAATAAATTTAATATGAAATAACTTGTCTACTCGTTTAGGTAGTAATGTTGCGTATACGCCGTGACAACAAAAGTGTACTATATTTGAAGGGGTTCGAATCATAAGGGTCTAAGTGACATTTTGTGAAAATATAAGTCATACTCATATTTGTATAGTTAAATATAATATTTATTTGAATTAGTTAATTAATCAGCATTCATTTAGGCAAGAAAGATTTCAAATGAATTTACAATAAGTAATCAACTTTAACTTTAATTATCTCAAAACAATGTCAGACCTACTTAGATCCTTTTGACTCTAACCCCCTTATTTGTCGGATTACACTGTGCACAATTTCAGGGTCACTGTTTGGGCGCGGAATGACTTCAAGATAATATAGTAAAACCCCCGGATCTTTTTACATTCTCAGATCAAATTAGTTATATTTATTAACCGAATATAGATTGAAGCATAAACAAATTTCAAGGAGACATATTATTTTTGTCTGATTTTGTCTGAGAGTGAAATTTTCCAGCAAATAGTTTTCTAGAACATTCTAACCCTCTAGCGATTTTTAAAATATGATTTTATTCAGACTTTCCAAAAGAGTGATCAAAATGAACATTACGTGAGTGAGCTACAGAATTATTCCTCGTGAAATTTCGCTCGGACATGAATTTTTAACCTTTTTTCACTTATTCCAAAAACACTCTGAAAAAAATTTGCAAACTTAGGGCCTTGAAAAAATTTCCTGATATAGCAAACAGATTTGGATTTAATGTCATCTACTATTTACTAACTACTTGAATGCTATTTGTTTAGCGTGAGATATAAAAATGATCTAAGTAAATGAGTGAAATACTGAATTTCCCCATTTTTATAGAACAAAAATATTCTCGTTAGGTCAAAGTTAACATTTGGTGGAATTAATTAATTCAAACGGAATAAAGTGTAAAATGCTTAGAAGAACATGAAGTCACGAAGGCGCGGGGCACAGCAGTTAATAACGGGAATTTACTTTCATAATTCAATGGAGCCCTAATTTTTCAAACAATTTGTTTATTTAATTTTTTTTTTTAAATGGAAGCAGATAAAACTAGCAAGAGCCGCTACAA